GAGAGGGAGTCAAATTATTTAAATACTATATATTTTATGGAGAAGAAAACAAAAGTATTTTTTTTATAAAAAAAAGTAGCAGCAAAACTAAGCAACGGACCATAATTCAGAAAATTAAAGAAGGCACATGAGGGAATAATAAAAGCATAATTAACGAAGGTTATGATCGAGTAATAAATATTTTTTTTAACTAGAGTTTTATTTCAGATCTAGGTATGTGTTGGAGTAACTTTTAGAAAATATTTTAACTCCGATATAAGATTTTTTAATATGAATTTGAATTAATCGAATAGGAGAAAAAATCATAAAAAACAAAACAAAGGAAAGCAGAAGTATTAATGTGAGAGATGGAGAGGTCTGCAATTTAATCCCATGTTGGTTCACTTGCTGTAGATAAAACTGTACATCTGGTAAGTGCACATGTTCTTGTTTTCATATCACTGTGTGGCCCCAGCCTTTTCAAATAAATCAATCATTTTACCACTACCACCACATTAGCCATGCTCATTATTTTCTAAAAAAAGTACATATATTTTACTGTATTAAAATGTCATTATTTTTTGGATGACTATATAACTATATTATTAAGTGTAACATAAGCATTATAAATTACGTAAAAGTGTTTATATATGCTACAGCTTTTTAGTCTGGTGCTAGTGAATAATTGCATCAAAGGCTGGCTGGCTGGCTCTCTGTGTCTTTATTCAATTTCACATTAACATAATGAAGCTTTTAAGATTAGATATATTACTAGTTGATAAAATTCTACCTGTCCCAAATCAATTCCAAACAAGTTGTAACTTGTAATATCGTTCCCCGATCTAAAGGACTTCTATTTCTGATTATATATTTGCATTATCACAATTTATGCGTAATTATTTGACATATAATTTTTTAAGATTAGCATATCTTTTGAATTGACGAAAAAGAAAAATGTGTCACGTAAAATTGAAATAAAAGGAGTATAATTAAAGATTTTATAATTCATAATTCTTACATGCTCATCAAACAACATTAAGTTCAAATTGCAGTGTGATGCATTTCCAACTTAATTTCAGCGTTCTAAAAAAAGGGGAAAAGGAAAAAGAAAAAGAAAAGAAAAGTGGTCAATGAAAAATGTATACTAAGTAGGCGTTTGGCCATGCGATATCATATCACGATATGGTATCGTGAGATGAAATCAGCATTTGGACATGCGATTTTACGCTGATTTCATCTCATGATTCCATATCATGAGAGGTGATATCATATTCTCCAAAAACCATGGTGATTTCATATCATGATTTGAGATATTTTAATACAACAATTGATCCATGAGTTTATATTTTGTTAAAACAACCCCACATTTATATCTACTAACCATTTGTTTCATATGTAAATAAAATTTATAATCACATCATTACTTTTTAAAATTTATTATTCTCACCGACATAAAATTTATTATTCTCACCAACATATAGTCACTTTAACTCACACCTCACAATTGTGGAGTAATAAAATCTTGAAGAGCCCATGAAAGGTGTTTCATTTATTACTCAAATATTGATGAGAAGTGAAAGTTAGGTTGAAAGTTATTAAATTAAAGTTAGATGAAACAATTACTTAAGTGGAGAACAAATAATTTTGTAATAATTTATTATGCGATTTTATAATTTTTTGTTTACTTGATAAGATTGAATAAACAATTGGGGCTATTTTAATAGTTTTATAACTTATGGGCTTTTTATGTTTATGAGAAAATATACAACACAAAAATTTCATATCGCATGTCCAAACAAACCTTCAATTTCATCTCATGATTCCATATCATGATACCATATCATGATTCTATATCATGATATCATATCGTATGGCCAAACGGGCCCTAAAAATAATAATTTTAAAATGTGTATATTAAAATATAAAGGTGGCGAATCTTATATGTATAGTCAATTTATAGCATATATATTTGGGAAGAAGGACGAATATACCCGAACTATCGTAAATGGTATGCAGATACCTTCCGTCATATTTTTGGGACATTGGTGCCCCTGTCATCCAAAAATTAAAGCATATATACCCTTTATAATAACGGACATACACGTGTCATAATCTTATCCACCGAACAAATATTTAATAAATATCGGATTGACATGTAAGATTGTGCCACGTGTCCCTATTTAGTCTTCCGTTAGAGTGAAGGGCATATATGCTCTAGTTTTTTGACGGCAGGGGTACCAATATCCCAAAAGTGTGACGAATTTTATCTGCATACCATTTACGATAGTTCGGGAGGTATATTTATCCTTTTTCCCAATATCTTTTACACTGTACAGTTCAAGTTGACAGTTTAAAGAACTTATGACCGATAATAATGGGCAATTTTTTTTTATTATAACACTTTATTATTAATCTAAAAAACTGGTAACTAAGTTGCATGTTAAGATACACAAGTCTAATTTTTATACCATGAATACATATAATTTAAATCTACTATTACATTCCATTATGTGACATAATTCAACTAAAAAAGAAATAAGATTTTTAAAATTTATTGTCTAAAACATATCATAACAATTACTATATGGTTATAAAAAAAATTATTAAGAAAAAAATGAAAAATGTAAGATTAAATAATTTAAAGTTTAAAAAGTATATCATTCCTTTTTAAACAAAATAAAAAAGAAAATTTTATCGCACAAACTGAAATAAAGAGCCTATTATATACCCTCTTTGTCCCTAATTACTTGTCCACTTTTGAATTGACACACCAATTAAAAAAATAATTAATGACATAGTGAGTTTACCATTTTACCCCTATTAATTATGAAGTGGATGATTTTTTTTATATTTTTCAAAGTAATTAATTATTTAATTGAGGGTATAATAGGTAAAAAAAAATTATTCTTTCTTAATTTGTCAAAATAAACAAATAATTGGGAATAACTATAAAAGGAAAAATGGACAAGTTTTTAGCAACAGCGAGAGTACATAATATTGTTGCAAATGAATTGCGTGTTAAAAAGCATGGTACTTTGCTGGTGACTTAAAAAGAATTGATAAAAAGTGTTTTTCTTTCTTAAAAGGAAATGCAATGGGCAACTGGTTAGGGGAATGGAAAGGCATAATAAACGTATTCTTTAATTTGAGACCTATTAGTATTTTTCGTTTTCCAGTTTAGATGTATATAAGTAAATATTTAAATTTATATAAAGTTAAACAAGTTGATACATATCATCTAAGAAGCAATTTGTGTGTATTATATCATGTAAAATACGTTTGTCTATTTATTTAATTTTATAAAAGTTTAAATGTTTACTTGTGTATAATCAAAATTCGAGAGCAAGATAACGGTAGATCGAGACTAAGTTAAATGACATATTTATGTATTATGCGGAATGAAAAATAGAGATGCATGTGGAGGTAGAAATAATTGATTACAGCGCACAGTGCGGAAATAATGTTTCCTCACCTCACCTCATCTTTGTTTTATCTTTTGCTCATGTGATCCCAAAATGGTTGCACATGCTATGCCCCCCTCTTTTATTTTTTCTCTCTACAACTTACATATCCCATTCAATTCAATTATGGACCTAGATCACCTTCTTTTTTCTTTTCTTTATTTGTTTCATTTCACATCTTCATTTTCCCAAATCCAATCCATGCTTTCTTTAATTCATCATCTTCATGATAAGACCACTTCCTTTCAACCCATGTGATTTTCTGTCTTTCTATCAAAAAGCAAGGCCTCAAATACACAGAATCGAATTCAGAATTTGAAATTTCAAGAAATGAATTTTAATGACAAAAAAAATTAAATTATATGTAATTCGTAAGATAAAATGAGCGAATACATAATTTAGAGCTTATAAGAAGATCATTTATATGATTGAACTATTATATGTTTTCATTTTGAACTCGATCTAGATCCGCCTCTTCTCTGTTGCTGTCAAAATGAATAAATGCTATATTTATTTATTCCAATTGTAATATTTTAAGGCAATAATTCTCATCCATTCTTTGATATCTCTATTCTCTTGCATGTGCTTGGACTGCTGTCTGGATCCTGTAACTACCATCCCATATGGGAGTCCTATATTTTTATGCACCGGCACTTTCAAATTTATTTATTACTCCTATTCCTTAATGAATCTTGTCTCAAATATATGTGATTTCTACATTTAATTAAAGCATCAAATCAACACCTACATATATAAAAGAGCAAATAAATACTACACTAATATCTTTACCTTCTAATAATCCTTTTAAATTATATTAAAAAAAAAACTGCTGTAAACATATACTATTGGAATTAAGAATACAATGGGTATGGACGATTAATCGATCAATGAAGTATGATGAAAACAAAATTAGAGGTTAGATCCCATAAGAGGGGAAATGTATATAGTGTCTCATTCTAAAATTTATTTATATCTTCACATAGTTGCTCAATATTTATACTAATAAAAAATTAATATACTTGACGAAATAATTAAAGTGCACTTAAATTGATGTGAACTCTACTGTTATAAGAGAAATATTGGGCTCACTTCTAGTGTAACAGATCAACTTGTTGGAGGGATACAATCTTACAAATTGCAAAGGCACATATTGGTAAAGCAGGGGATATGACAGCTTTTTAATTTTTTATTTGATATTTGATATTAAAACTCGATTAATTCTTTATTGAGAATAAAACATTTTTTAACAAAGATAATTTTGTATTCAAACAAACTCAAATTGAAAACGAAGAAGTCCTAACCACTCGGTGAAAATCTTCTGGTTATTGGGAGATATGATAGTTATTGGCCCACATGTGGGGTTATAAGCTCAATGCTTAAAAAGAGTTAAAGTCCATATGGTAAACAAAAACAGAACACATTGACATAAAGTGAGAAATGTCCCCATTAAGGGGCATAATAGGAACACTACTATAAATTCAGATCAAATCTTTTACTAAAATAATAAATTAATACCATCAAACCCCAAAGGGGGTCTATTACTCTATTTATAGTCCAAACTCCTCAACACTTTTCGTCACTCACTCTTACATAAACACTTCACAAAGAAAACCTCTCTTTTCTTTTGCTTTCTGTGAAGCAAAATCAGCAATGGCGAAGGTTGTTTCATTTTTCCTTTTGGCCCTTATTGCCATTTCCATGGTTGCAACCACTGCTCTAGCTGCTGATGCCCAGTACCACCTTGATCGTGTAAGTTTATTTTTTCTCAATTATTTGGGGAAATGGGAAAGGGATTATAATGTCGGGAATCGAAACTCTCACTTGTTAAGATAATCAACCAACTGAGTTACTAAGATTTCCTCGACTCTGTTTCTTTTATTCTAACAAATTTGCTTATTATTTCAGTCAAGGTATGGTCCAGGGAGCTTGAAGCCAACACGTACGTTTTTTCTATCATATCTTTACATTTATTTAACTAAATAAAGAACTCAATTCTAGCCTAAGATTATTAAAATATTGAGATGATTAGTGTCAGGAATCTTTGTCTGGGTGGAATATTTACAATTTTGTTCTCAGAATAAAAAATTCAGCAACTCCTAAATACAGTTAACAAACACTTAACTACGGTTATTAATTAATCGATTAATAGCCTCCGATTGGGTGAATGTTCGAGTATTTAACATTTAAATATTCTGTGTAGTAGTAAGGAGAAGTGGAGAACTGTGAATTTCTCATACCCGGTCCATCTTAGTTATCATGTTTTTTCTAATTTTCTCTTAATAAAAATTAATTTTACTAAATTGTGGTTTTACATTTTTATCTTAATTTAATACTCTATTATTTATCTATGATTCGAGGGACGTTAGTAGCGTATTTCTCAAATTATGATAATTTAGATTTGACCTCTATATAAATATTTCATTACTTTTATGGAATATTTGAGATCTTGATTTTTAAAAATACCTAGAAGGGAATATTTTGAGATGCCTTTTAAGAGAATTTAGTACCATTTATATAGACATCAACTAAGGTATAAGGTTGAATAGCCTCAAAAAATTCTACTTGAAATTGAACACACTTTTTAGATACGTCGTTATTTACATATTTACCATACCTTGTTGTAGCTGCAACCTACCCTAACTGCTAAAGTTTTGCCCCACAATAGGCTCGAATTCCAGAAAATAGTTCTGTTTCCTAACAAATTTGTCAAATTTAACTAATTTCAAGAACCACCTGTGCCTTTGCTCTGCTATATTTGACCGGTCAATTTAAACATCGGTAATTTTAATATTTTTTAACTTGACATAAAATTTACAAAAGGAAAACTTTTGAAATTTGTGTTTTAAAATGTTGTTGATCAATTGTGTGGTTATAAGTTATTCTATTAAGGTAATTTAAAATTATTGGAAAGGTAATATTTTTTTGATGAGTAGCACATAAGTTGGGATAAGGGAATAACAAGTTACTAATAAAACATAGTTGAACAACAGAATGCCTGCCACAATGTACAAGAAGATGTAGCAAGACACAGTACCACAAGCCATGCATGTTCTTTTGCCAGAAATGCTGTAAGACATGCCTATGTGTTCCTCCTGGTTTCTATGGAAACAAAGGTGTTTGCCCATGCTACAACAACTGGAAGACCAAAGAAGGAGGACCAAAATGCCCTTAATTATTTAACCACATTGTCACCCCAAAGTTTAATTGATATTGTTGTTTATTGGTCTTCTTGATCCTATTATTATTATTTTGTCTGAATTAAGAGGTCATTAGTTGTATGACCTTTTTTACTTTTGTGTATGTATTTGCTCCTTTGGGCAGTATTGCCCGATATGAGAGCTGTTTGACCAATTTTTCTGTTGGTCTATTGTTATGTTACTCTTTTCTAATATAACAAAAAATCTTGTCTTCTCTTTAACTTTCCTGCTAATTACAAAAGCATTATCAAAGAATGTTTTTTTTTTCTTCCTTCTTTATTGGGAAATCGCCATGTACAATGTGTCCCTGCAGCAAATATTCAACATCTTGAATCCATTGCTACTATACGACCATAGTCAGTATATATTGTGTTTATTCAACTATATTGGTAATTTTTTTTTTACAAGTTTCCCTCTTTTTCGTCTAAACATTTGTACGAAAGACCGGTCATTTGTTGGGGCCATTTGCAGGAACTGGACGAAAAAAAAGTATTTTGAAAATTGTAGTGTAAAATAAATTACTCGCCTTAATTTCAATTTGTTTGACATAATTAAAGAAGGTAGTGCTCAATGAATTGAAGAATACATGTCATTTCCTTTTACAATTACCCATCCGAAACCCAAAAGTGAGATCATGATCATGTTGTTTTGGAGATTGAAAATTAAAAAATATAAAAATACTGAACATAACAGACACAACCGACACTTCATAAAAGATGCTCCCTCTCTTTTTATTTTAAAAAAATGATCTAATTTAATTTAATATGGAGTTAAAAAAATAAAATAGATTTTCTAAAATTTTGTAGTCCTAAATTAAAATTATATCAAAATGACCTTTAATTTTATGGTCTTCAATATGCTATTTGAAAAACTAATATTAACATGTTGCCAAAAAAAAGGAAAAATCACTTTTAAAAAAGTAAAGTAAGTCATTTTAAAAAAAAAACGAAAAAGTAATAATTTGGACAGCAAAATCACTACTAGTTTCAATTTAACAAGACTGACATTGAACCTGGACCCATTAATTTCTTAACCCTATATCAAAATTTAAATTTCCAAATCACAAGGAAAAAGGAATTCCTAAACCTCTTCAAATTAGGAATTAATAATGCACACACAATTATTTGTGTTTATATTTTTTCATTATTGCAATATAACTAAACCTTTACCATACTAGCTATGGACGGGAATTTGTGGCAATTCAGATGATAGAACTTGCATTTTTGGGACGAAAGTGACTGATTTTTAGGCGGAGTAGAAAGTGATGTAGGAAAGTTTGTATGGCAAAATATTTGTGATTTATTTATATGAAACTGTAGTACATCCATTAAAAAAGAAAAAGGAAAGCAATCAAAATTAAACATAACTAAACCTTTACCCTACTAGTTATGGACAGAAATTTGTGGGAGTTCGCGTCTGCGGCATTTTCGTCCGACAGTTTTTGCCACTCCTAGCATGTTTGGATCATAAACTTGTTGATGGAATGAAACAAAGTTTTGAAATAAAATTATGTTTCTTGCTAGGCTTTGATGATAGAACTTTTATTTTAGGGAAGAAAGTGATTGTCTTTTAGGCGGAGTAGAAAGTGATGTAGGAAAATTTGTATGGTAAAATATTTGTGAATTATTTATAATTAATTGACAGATCATTTAGATATGGCACATTGTTTGGTTCTTACTGTGATTCTTGTTGCTATAGTTTCCTCACATTCAATGTTTTTTTTTTTTTTTTCTCGAGTTAAGACTATATTTTAGTAAAAAGGACTTTTTCTAGTTGCTTAATTGTACTTGGTCAAAAAGGACTCGTCCATCTGGAGAAATTTAATTCAATAAGATTAATCTTTATCATCTGAATTTCGATATATAATAAATATTCTTCATAGTTATGCAGTATTTAAGAGCAACTTTCACATATAGCAAACAAAAAAATTATATTTGTATGCTATAGCAAAGTTTGCATAATTGCGCTCCATAACAAACATATAAATGTATAATTCGCTATACATATATACAAAAAGAAGCAATTGTATAATTCGTTGGCTCCTCTTCAGAATTGTATAATTTCGCTGGTAGGCCATTTGTATAAATTGTTGTTAGCCTCTCGTTTGTACAAATCGTTGACAAACATAAATTATACATTATACAAACATAAA